ATTTTCCATAACTTTTCGCAGAATTTCAGGCGTAATGGCCATGATTTCATTTCGAATGTTGGTTTGGAGTTGGAGAATGGTTCTTGGTTCGTTAACGTACACTTTCTTTCAAATATCCCCAAAGAAAACTGTTAAAAAGAATTCAAACTATATAGCTCATTCGGCGCCATCACGTATTATAACCAAAAATTTTAGTTTTTTTTGGCGAAATTACGATTTTTTCTAGGTAAAATGCCGATTTTTCAGCAAAATCATTCGGCAACGCTGCTGGCAGGTCATTTCCAGGCATGGATCCCGTTGGCATAGATTAAAAAAAAAACTGTTATAAAGAATTCAAACCATATAGCTCATTCGGCGCCACCCAGTATTTAGAGTACGTACTTACAAATGTATATTGTACGTACAAAACCAAAAGTTTGTGGTTGCAAATGTTAACACTTTTACATATACTACATATATATTTATATGAAAATTTGTATCTATAAATAACTGTAATAGTCAGCTACATGCTAGAAAACTTGTATAAATAAAAAAAACTTTGTGCAACATATTTTATTTGCCATTCCATGGCTTAAACGAGTGTGTTTGTATGTAGGCGCAGCCATAAAATGAAATTATCAAGCCGGTATACAAACTTAGCTATGTATATATTTTTATACATACTTATGTACATATGGATATCGTCGTTTAAAGTACAAAACCGCGTAACTAACATTTGCTGCCAAAAATTGGATTTGCTCACACAAGCTCTTGGCCCAATCCTTATCCATTCGTCCTGAAATATAATAGCCGGAAATGCGATTGTGAGAATCATTTTGAAATATGAGTGTTTTTACTCTCTAGAAAATAATTAATGCAACCTCACATACGCGGTTTTGCATTATCTTGAGGCGCGGTGTTGTACGTCAAACGGCGGTATGTATGTATGTTCATATATATCTACCCTCGGCCTTCTAGTAATCGCCACCTTTTCTTTTCTTTCTTGCATTTTACTTTTCATTGCCAACAAAAGTGTTTGTGAAGACGGCTCGTTTACAAAGCACTCGAGTTGCCACTGTTTAATTTTAGAGTTGCCACACAGTACTTCACAAGTGCATACATACTTATGTACATATGCATTTACTACTTTGTATACCGCCAGTAAACTATTTATCAGTGAAGTAAAAAAAAAAATCAATGTGGCAATGAGATAATCAAAGCCAATAATAAAATCATTCGAGTGTACTATGGCACTTATCACCAGTGCTCGGACGGATACTGTGATACCATTGAAACTTGAAAAAGCAACATGCACACTTCAAGCACAACGATAGTTTTGATATTTCTCGGAAGAGGTAAAAATAATACTAGATAACGATCGGGCACTTTTTATTTAAATTGTTGGTGCTTAAAGTTGCTTTTCTAGCTTTCTTTTATTGTCTGTTTTCAGGCACAGTGAGTGCTGAGATATGTTAAAATGTTAAATTAATCACTAGTGTAATTTTTTGATGTTATTAATTAATTGTCTTTGATAAAAAAGTGTTAGATACATATGTATGTTCTGAAGTATGTATGTGCTTCAATGTGGAGCACGCGTGCTTTGAAATGTCTGATTAATCTACATACGAGTGTCTTTATGAGTTTTTATTACAAATTTGAAAAAAATATGTAGGCCCAGTAAAGTAGGTCATTCACAGAAGTTATCAATATGTACCGTTATAAAATGTGGAAGATAAGCTTTTTAACTGCAACCATAAATACGGGTACAAGCAGGTGGTTTTGTTTTTAGCTGTAAGCATTTTTAAATTATGACATTCGAGTTTACTTCGATATTGGCCAATTTTTCATAGTTATTTCATGAAAAGTGCTTAATTGAATTTATTACCTTTTTTTTTTGTCTGAAAGTAGGGCTGCTAACATTTTCTAAGATATTTATAGTATTTTTTTTTCAAAACATCGGAAAAATATTGTACACTTCAAATATATTTGGTATTTTATTTAAAACAAAAAGTAAAAACGCTTTTTAGGTAATGGAAAAAGTTCTTCGTGTGAATGTCGAAGTTGCGGTAATAGAGAGTAGAAAAGAAATAAATTTAAGTAAATTTGTTAATTCTTTCTTATTGTTTTTAAAAATATGTTGCCATTTTTGATTATTTCATATAATATTGTTATTTCAGTATAAAGGTCATCCATTTTAATAAAAAATTTTTCTTGCAAACTACTGAAATACATTTATATTTAAAGTTAAAGAAATATAGTATTTTCGCGTACTATATTTTTTTCCAATAGTATATAGTATTCCGATCGGAAAAATAGTACCATACTATATATTATAGTACGGTTGGCAACCCTATCTGAAAGTGGCAGATGATAGCCAACTGGTTGATGATATTCTAAACGTGTCTATTAACACAATTTTCTGAGAAAAATGGAACTAGTAGTAAATAAATTAAGTAAAAATTCATATGGATATTTCTCGGAGTTAACAATGGTAATTGAATGATCGGTTTTTGTTGGCTTTGTTTTCATCTTTAATGCCAGCTTCAAGAGTACACAGGAGTTGCTCAACAATGGATTTTCATAATTTTTCAATAAATTTCAATGACTTTATGGGCAATATAACTACCTCATGTAGCCGTGTGGTGACAGATGATTAATACAAAAATACTCTATACAGCTTAATAGGGCAATTCTGGCTAAGATTGTAAAAAGTCTATCGTAAGACAAATGAAAGACGGATGGCAAATTAGTTCGAAAGACTTTTGTTATTCTAGCACAAAAGTCTTAGAAAAAAAGCTCTCTCATTCAGCGCACGTGGTGAAAAGTTATTTTGAGAAAAAGCACTTGTATATCATTTAGCTCGAAATTTGTTGTCGCAACAACAGGGCGTGCCATTTGCAATATCCGAGTTCTTTTTTATTTAGTAAGATATATTTTTTTCTTTTTAATTTAACCTTCTTTTACTTTTTAGATTCTATGGTTTAAAAAGAAAATACAAATTTATATTTTAATTTCATTTAATTGTTGAAACTTATTTGATGTATCTTTTATTTCTTAATTTAATATTCTCTAAATTTTTAAATGTTATTTAATTTGTATATACATACGTAAATGTTATTTTTTTCGAATGGTGATTATTTTTTTAATTTCATTTAATTTTTCGGAACTTCTTTAATTTTTTCTTTCTTTAGTAATATTTTTGTAAATTGAACTTTCTTTTACGTTTTAGATTTTATTGGTTTAAAAAGGAAAACATATATTTTTCAATTTCATTTAATTTTTAGATACTTATTTAATTTTCTTTATATTTTTTGATATTATTGTTTTAAAAGGAATATTTTTTTAATTACTTTTAACTTTTAGGAAATGATGTTATTTTTTCTCTTTTTAATATTTCTTTTTAGTTAAATTTTCTTTTAATTTTAAGATTTTATTGATTAAAAGAGAAAAAATATATTTTATTTATTTCTTCTCTTTTAATTTATTTTCTTATTCTGTTTTTAATTTCGTTTTCTTTTAATTTTTATATGTCATTGTTTTAAGAAGAATATATTTTATTTTATTTAATTTTCTTGATATTATTCGATTTTTTGAAACCGTTTGTCTTTTTTAAATAAAAATATTTTTAATCTAATTTAATTTTTAGGTACTATTTGTTTACTTTGATTAGTTTTTTTTCTCATTTAGTTTTCTTTTATTCATTAATTTTGGTTTAAATAGAGAAATATCTATGTAGTAGCAAGACAGTTGCCAAAATTGCCCTGTTAATCTTTAAAAATACTTTTATTTATTTTTTGCTTTATTTTCTTTTTATTTATTATTTAAATTTTTTAAATGTAAATTTCTTTTGTTTATTAGTTATTATTGTTTAAAAAAAATAAAAAGTATTTTTTTAATTTAATTTAATTTTTTTAAAACTTATTGCCGAAATACGAACTGCATGACACTAAGGACCGGACCACATGCGTTGCGTTGGCGTTGGCGTCACTTCAACAGGTCACTATGAATATATGAATTCAAATGCAGCCCTTCACATAGCCAAAATTCGACAATGCTAACGCTTAACACAAAGCAGAAAGATGGCCAACTCTCAACTTTTCGCGTGCGTTGCTCGTCAACTGTTGCAAATGAATAAAATTATGTGAAATTTTTTCTTTTTATGGTCGGATTATGCATACTTCGCATAACTTCGCACAACTTCGCATAAACCTTAAACTGTAATTTCGTATGTAATTTGTATGTATTTTGTACGTATTCCATTACCCATAAATCAGCACAACTTTTTAAAACTTAATGATATGATAAGGATATTTTGCTTTAAATTTTCTTAAGTTAAATTTTTATTGCACTGCTACAAATGGTTGTGCGAAGTTAAGCGAAGTATGCATAATCAGACCTTTAGTCGCTCATTCCTTAATTTTAAGGTACAAAGCTACATAGCTGAGACAAACAACTAGGCATTTTCAGCTCTCGCGCCCTTAATAAGCGCTGAAAATGCTGAATAAAAAGGTTTTCGCTGTTTCCACATAGAAGAAAAAAGATGGAAAATGTGTATTTGAAGCATATTTATTTTGTCCAAGGATAGAATACTATACTAAAAAATGCAATTTGATTTTATGGAAAAATGTCAATAAATATGTAAGTATGTCTGCTATTTTGGGTATCAATATGGTAATAATAATTTACTTAATTAATTAATATAGTGATCTTTTGTGCAAAACTTCATATTTGGTGTTTATTTGAAAAACATGCGAATAACATTTTTATATGTAATTTATGTATAAGTCATACCAACTACATAAATATGTTTGTAAGTACAGTCATGGAAATTCGAGAGCATGCTATATACATATACCAAATTAATAAAAACGGAACTCAAGTCTGAAAATGGTTAATAAATTTAGCTGTTAAATTGTTTATACATAGGTACATACATTTGTATGTGCATAGTTATACATATAGATACATATTTACATTAATATTTTTTTAAATGCTGTTAGAGTATTAATTTGTGTACTTACCGACGCACTGGCACGGCCAAATTGTCAACACTGCGTGACATAAGCGAAACATCTTGACTAGCCCTACGTGACCTAGTGTGTGTTTGTGTATGAGGAACAACGATATTTTTCGGATTTCGCAGGATTTCAACCAACGAGCAAATCGAGTGAACATAAAATAAAATTAAAGAAAATAACGAAAATAAGATTTAACATAAAAAAGGAACATTTTAAAAAATAAATCTTAAAAAAATAACTTCTATGTTAATAAACAAACTTAAAAATATAATTAGGGCCGAGAGGCGAAAACTTGCTGTGTGAGTTCAGTGAATTAAAACTGCTGCTAAACTCCGTGCTCGTTAGGATAGCCTTCGAATAAACGGCTATGTAGAAGACCTCCACCTGCCAGAGAATATTGGCAAACTGGGTGTGTTTTCCGTTTTTTTTTGTTCGCGGAATTTGCCGAACTGCACCTCACCGCTTTAGTTCTCCCACGTAATCATTTGTTGCATTTAGCAGCAATGGGGAAGTGCCATGCAAAATGTGACGCACATGGCTTTAGAAACCGAAAGGCAGTTAATTAGGAGGAGTGGGAGCAGTGCATTGCCTTTTTGTTTGCACTTTTCTTTGCCAATTTTTTTAAGTGTAGTTACCGTAGAATTCATGGTCATAAAAAATACAGCCAGGAAGTTTGTCACTAAGATGGCCGATGCTTAAAAGGGGGTGGCTGGAGATTATAAATTATGTGCGCTAAAAAATAGCGGGCAATTTGCGTTGCATTCAAATTAGGGCTGTTACTCGAGTAATTAAGATTTTGATTATTCAAAACGATTAATTTTGCTCGTTAAAAGAGTTTGCTTTGGAAAATGCTTATTTTAATTTTTACATTCTGTATATGAAAAAAATACTTAATTTTAATTTTTGAAAACAGAAGCGTTGTTTTCAAAGTATCAAGGAACTTCAACTGCTTTATATGTAAAGAGTACTTTGAAATGTTGATTACTCATTTTACTCAAAATGTTGATTAATCATAAAGCAAATTACTCAAATAGTTTTGTTTTTGGTTAATCAAAATCTTGATTATTCGAGTAACTGAACTTTTGAGTAATCATAATTTTCAATTAATCGAATAAATAAGTTATTTACTTTATGATTAATTAAAATTTTGAATAATCAATTAATCGCACAGCTCTAATTCAAATACATTTTTCTAAACAGTTTAATGCGAATATTTGTTTTAAGCTAAATGTGGAATTAAATAAAAATACAAATGCAAAATACTGGTAAAATTTTTTAATAGCATTTTAATTTGAGAAGAGAATTTTATTTCTCCTATTTTAATATTAGCTAATATATATAATACTTTAATTAAAGGTCTGCAAATATACCAGCAGAAATACTCTTCACATGTGTACATGAGTAAATGGAACATAAATTTTAGAGTACTAAAAAAGATAGGAAGAAAAAAAGAGAACATCATAAATTTGAATAACTGAGCAATGTTACTCAACAGTGCTCTGCTACATAAAACACTGTTTCGCTTTTCCAAAATACTTGAGTATGTTGATTGAATTCAGCAGTATTTGAAAAGTTCATAGGAAGTATACGAATACTTATGAAGTTTTTCTTTCAAAATGTTATCATTTAACATAATGTTAAGAAAATTCATAAATTTTATTTTCGTTGTCGAATTTGATTCGTTGAAGAAAGGGGGCTTATTTTATTGTTTCGCGCAATTAGGGTTTAGCTAACATTTTGCATTGTGTATTATTTGAACTCTCGTTCGTGTGATCCGCAGAAAATTTATCTTAAAGAAGGGAGTAAAATATAAAAGAAAAATGTTTTAATTATAAACAAATATTGATAAAAATTACACAGGTTTACAAAAAAAAGTGTATGCATATTATACCAAACCCTATGTTATTCGACAGGCTGAGTGCGAATCCGAGGTCCGTTAGCCTCTATCACGTCAGGTTCGTGGTCAGTTGAACGTCAAGCAGGGAAAAATGCATTGAATAAACCTGAAAATTCATATATGTGGGGTTTTAGAACCCGAATCAGAGCTCCGTTAACCTCCATAATGTCAGGTTCGAGGTCAGTTGAGGGTCAAATAGGACAAAAAATGTATTCAATAAAAATAATGTTTTTTTTGTTTTTGTTGTCGCTGAATCCGAATATGGGGGTCTCTTGATTCCTCAAGGTCATCTATACGAATTTATAGAATTTCCAGGTTTATTCAATGAATTTTTCCCTACTTGGCCTTCAACTGACCACAAATTGACGTGGTGGAGGCTAACGGGTTTCGGATTCGCATTCAGCGTGTCAAAAAACATAGGGATATATAGGTTTGGTTTAATATGCATACACTTTTTTTTCTAAACCTGTGTTATTAAGCTATCACCATTAAATTTAGCATCAGCAATGGAAACTGAAACGCCTACCATCCAAAATCCCACCAATGCGCAAATTAAAACAAAAATTTCAAACGGAGAATATAAATTGGTACAAAGGCAAGGTAGAAGCAGGGTGTGGGAGTTTTACGCAGGAAATCAAAATGAAGACGGACAAGAAATCGACAATATTGTGGCATGCAAAAGGTGTAACAGCGTTCTAAAACTCAACGACAAGAGCACGTCAAATTTATTAAATTATTTTTTGCAACATCATTTGTATTTGACTTTTGCTAGTGTGCAACGATCCCTCTTTCTCCCGGTATATCACATGCCGATCCATGTGCATCCTTTCTAGCACAGAATCGTTTTTAGCTGCAACAACAGCAGTTAGTGGACGATATTTATCTTTGTATAGGCGGTGGCACGCCCCCTTTTCCAATAACGTAATTTTCCCTTCAAAAGTTTGGGTTTGTCTTCATATATCACTCAACCAAATTCCAAAGCTCTACCGCAAATACGCACGCGCCCTTGATATATCGAATTTGTTATTGGCCTATGACCATCCTTGGAAGGTTTCCAGTAGATATGTACATCGCAATTTGGTTATGATCGGTGAAGCAGTTTGGTAAAAAATAACGTTTCTTCTTTAACAGGTCATCCGCAGATAACCCATATGGAATGCTTATTCATCCCATATTTAAAACGCTCCTTCGAGGTGTTGCTGTGGGAGTCCCTTCTGTCTCTCGCTCGGCATTGGGCTAGCTGGGTATTAGCCTTGATAATTCCCTAGATTGTTTTCCATGTCTGTTAACATTATGTAGTATTTATTAAACGAAAACTTCCAAAAATACTCAAAAAATACTTGTGAAGGAACATATTTTTTGTGGAAGTTTAACACCATAGTACTGCTTGTTTATGTTTTTCTTTTTATCGGAACATATTTTGTTTGAGTACTTTTTTCATGTATACAGTGCTCAAAATTTTCACTTCTCTTCCTTCCATGCCCTCTTTGTTAAAGTATGAGTAGTTTACATATTTGAAAAAAACTTCACAGTGAAGCAAACTGAATTCCGATGCAGACCTTTAACTTTAATCAAGTAAAAGTACTAGATGCAGATTGATTTTTTTTTTGTACTTCTCTCGCTAGTTCGTGCTGGGGTTGATTTAGCTAACTAGTATCTAGCCCAGAGGGCCACTTGGCGGGTATTCAAATTCATTTTGCTCCTATTTCATGATAGATAAAGCTAGATTTCTACTTTTTTATGGAAAAGTTTGGTACAAAAAATACCCATATAATTATACCGGATTTCCACAAGGCATTGAAACGTCAAACATAAGGAAAAATTGTCTACCATTAGGCTTAGTATCCAGATCTACAAAAAAATCTCAAGAAATATTTTTAGTTCTTTCTGTCACTTGAAAAAGTAAAATTGTTCTTGAGAACTATAAATCAGTTTGTTAGAAGACATTTTCTTTTTCATTCCCTGAGCGTTTTTTTCGTATATACATACATACGTACGTAAATACATAGGTATTTTTTGTTTTTCTTGGCATCTGGATACAATGCTTTAAACAAATGGCAGTGGAAACTGACAGTGAATTTTATTATTTCACTTAATGACATCTTTTTTATGCCCAAATTTATCATAAAATTTTTTTCTTTAATGCGCAGTGGAATCACAATGCTGTGATAGTAATTAAATTTGTTACCATATGGACTTATTCAAATGACAAAATTCATTGTCATTTCAATATCTTGTGAAAATTTGCTATGTATAATATAATACTAATTTAAATACCATAAAAAAAGAACATTTTTTCGTGAGTACAGTACTTTTTTGGGGAAGAAAACAAAAAAAAAAAAAAAATTGCTGCTGTAATAACATTTGGAAGTTTTCCAGTGCACAGAAAACTGAAATGCTACCTAACTGGCTTAGGTTAGTTACTTCGGCCAAAAAGAGTGGCATAGTGCCATTTTGGACGGATATGCCTCTTACACATTCTGCCTCTTATACATTCCCAATCCGGGGATTGATGATTGTCGCCAGTCATTTTGGCATTCTTCATACTGAGTAGTCTGTAGCGCTGGTTAAAAAGTTCATTAGATCAGTAATGGACAACCCCCTTAGAACTCACCAACATGCGTACCAGAGTGTAAAGTTCTGTGATTCAATTCTACACGACCTTGTAACAAAGATCGAAGTGGTGCTAGAAGCTTAGGAGTGCACAATGGGGCCTTTGCTAATGTTAAAGGGACGTTTAACAGTGCAACTTTTAACTCAATTTCCCCTGCTCAATTAGCAGAGTCATAAAATTATAGATTCTAGCTTTACTCAGTTCTACTAGACATTCAAGAAAGTAGTGATAGAATGAATGTCGGCGGAAGCTCGAGCCCCAGAGAAGATGTGTCGTGACATCCTGCACATGTGGTCTGCGTACCGTCTGCGTTTTGCCTTTTCCATTAACAACAACATCAATGTTGCTCGTCTTGGCTCACTTACAAGAAACACAGCATGTTTGGAAGCACTGTATGCAAAATGATCACAGCAGGCATGCATGCAAAGGGGCCCAAAATTACTTATCATTGCTTTGTCGTTAGTTTAGTACTAAAATAGTTTTATAAGAAGTATTTTTGATACTCCGACAACGATGGTGCTGTTAAATTTTTGGGCACCCCTGATTTAGAATATTAGAATATGT